CACAGGCCAATTGCCGGGACAGGCGGGGCACGGGGGAGGGGCCCTGTTGCCTTCAAAGCGCCGGCAGCACCCTGGCCGGCCGTGGGATGAATGGCCCACCACCACCGTGGTGGTGGAATACGTGATGTGGCCCAGCCTCACCCAGACTCTACTTCCAGCGGCCCCCAGGTAAGTTGAGTTTGAGACCCCTGAGTTAGGGGGTTGTACTGAGGATCAAGGAGATCCTGGTTCTAGTCCCCACTGAGCCATGAAGCTCACCAGGTAACAGTGGGTCAGTCATGGGACTCTCAAACTTATCTACCTCACAGGGTTGTTGTTGCTATAAGGATAAAATAAGCTGCTTTGAGTTCCTTGCAAGACGGATGGGATATAAATGCAATGTGAAGATGACAAAAGAAAGGGCCTTCTCCTTGCCAAGGAAGGCTAGGCTGGCTCCTGCTCTGCTGTCCTGTCACTAGACAAAGACTTTGGTTTATAAACTGGACTGTTGGGTTGGGCAGTAGTTTTTTTTTAAACCTGGTTCACATATTACAGTGGCAAAGCATGGGTTGTTTAACCCACAATTTGCAGGAATGCATTTTATGTCCAAACCATTTCCACTTTCTGATCACAGGTTGCGAGTCTATCATCCAAATGTGGACACTTCAAGTTGATTCTGAGTTAAGATACTTCACAACCTGTAATCAAAGATTGTTTACAGAAAGCAGATAAAGCTCCTGCATAACACACCTCCCAACAAACTGCGAGTTAGGGAACAATTTGTCACTCTGATGAAAAAAATTAGCTGACATTTTGATTTTCATGTATTTATTTTATTACTTTTAAGTGCCGATTCTGTTCTTAGGTTTGTTAGCTACCTTGAACACCATTTCCTTGGTGGAAAGGCAGGGTATAAAATAAACAAACAAGGTTCTAAACATTAGATGCTCGGAAATAACAGCAGAAAATATCTATTACCATTGGGTCCTGCTTGTGGGCTTCTTGCTTACACCAAGTTGGCCACTGGCCACAGACCGACAGACTGTCTATCCCAGCTGGGTTCTCATGTACTTTATTCTGTAGCTCATATACAGAAATATGAACTACAAATGTCCTACATTTTAGCTCAGCATGTAGAGTGGACCCAGTTTTATATCTGAATCTTGGTTTGGTTCCAAGATCTAGCTGCATCAATGCAACTAATCAAAGCAACATACCAATAACCCCTAAAATCTCTTGAGCAGCTTTTCAACAGAGTCCCACTGAATATAGGAAGATAAAATACTTAATCCTTTCAAAAAGACACCAGAAATAGTATCTATTTGTGTAAACTATAGTACTGTAGTACTACAGTACAATTTTCAGATTTGCCAAGTTACCATGATAGCTTATGCAGAGTCACACTTACAGGAGAGGTTAAAGCAACAATAGACAAACTTACACATTTGTTCTTGCTCAGAAACTAATAAATTAATCCATGCAAGCTTAGAGGAGAATACTCCTTTAATTCTAGATCTTGTTCTGTGTACCTAAATTTTTGCACATGTGCAATGTTAAACTGAATCTTGGGAACTGTAGACTGGAATATTGTAATGAATCATGCATCATGTTATATAATCCTTCTTGATTAGTTGTTTCTACATGGCAAATAAACATGTTGAATACAAAAGCCATCTAATGTAAGGAGAATATAACATATGCAAGTGTTTCTTTGAACATAACTGGTTTGAGGAAAGAGTTCAAACACCAACCATTCCCTAAGGGGTTAAAGTGATGACATATTTCTTCCAGAAAGAAAAGAGTTAAATCAAATAACTCACTTGTACAAAAATGTCATAGTTAAGATTTAGATTTCACATGCTTTGCAACCTGCAATCTATTGTGAAAATAACGAATTCATAAGACAAAGGTGAGCATTATAAACACGAGTTTTGACCAGTGAGCCAACTAATTATGAAAGCTGACAACAGATGGCACGGTATCAAAATAACAGATGTCATCAAGAATTCAGTCCAAAATGTCAACCCAAAACATACCTCCACCACATAAATTTTAGTGAAGCAATATACACTTTAGCCATTTCAATCTTGCATCTTCATTTTTCTGTCAAACAAGGCATTTTGATAGCTATACTGCTTCATACAGAAAATCTGCATGCAACAAAAACATCACCTGTAAAATTATGTGATTGGCAATTTAATTAAAAAGTAGGTGGAACAATATTATACTTTGCCTTTCTAACAGCACTTTTGTCAAGTGTGTGTGTGTGTGTGTGTGTGTGTGTATATATATATCAATAAAAGGAAGACTTCAGGACACAAAGTTTTCTGAACAATGGACGCAAGAATACATTTCTTGATGGATATGCATCAAATCTGAACAAAGCCCAAGCAGAACTTGAAGTATTTCTGCTGCTTCCTGAGGCAAAGCAGTGTCAGAACTAAAGCTGCCTCAGGGCAAGGTTTCATTACCAAATCATGCTTCGAGACAAAGACATTCTGTAGCTTCTCCAAATAGTGTATTTCAGTTTCATATCTTTACACTCCTGATAAGCCACAAGCAGGCAGTATTGCTGAACAACTGATAGGTCCACCTTCTAATACCAGGGTGTATTTTATCAGAAGTACCAATCACTCTGCTTTCAGGAAAGGCAAGGATGGGCCAGTAAGATGGCCACTGTTCCCTTGCACTTATCCTGAAATGATGTAGCCTTTTCACCAAGGGAGATGCATGCTTTTCCTACAAATAGCTCCAAAACAAACACACACAAGGACATATGAGAGGAAGCAAATGAAGCAGCCTTTTCTAAAATTTGAAGTCTCATTCCATGTGAACTACTACACCTATCCTTCTGAAACTTTGCAGCTTCTTTCCTAAGGACAACTCAAAGCTGTCAGCCATTTTCAGAGCTATGGCCCACTAAGAACATAAGGCTGTTAAGTTTATTCTTTTTGGGACAGCATTAAATTTCAAGACTGTTCTTGCACAAAAATACTCCTTACCTAGAAACCTAAAACTTGGCATGCTTGATACTCTCAAAAAGGGCAGCTATCCAAGTAAATTTCACAATTTTGATACATTTGATACCTGCAAATATGCAAGTCTGGCAAAACAAAAAGAGAGAAAATTTCTGGCCATTGTTAATTTCCTGTACAAGTCAGCATTTCCAAATCTTGGCCCAGGTTCAGTACCCACCGAAGGAAACAGTCTCTGAATTAGTTTGATCAGAATCAGACCAGTTTCCCAAAAACAAATCTGGGAGGTGGTCCACATCTCTACTTTCCAGTTCTTCTGTGGCATATACTCTTAGGAACCTGCTGTTTTCAACAGTTTGATACTATGGCTGTGTACAAAAAAACTACCATTGAGTTCAATGGTGCTTATCCATAAGAGTATATGCAGCCTGATCCGGACAATTTTTCTCATATATCAGGACCAGGGTGAAGTTATCAAATTGTCCATAAGATAGTAATGCTCAGAATGAAGACATTTCAACTGTTTCACCAGTAAGGCATTGCAAGTATACCTAGAATAACTCACAATTTTTTTTCCTAGTCAGCCTACCCATGCATGCCTATTTAGTTATAGGCAAGCAGGGAAGGGGAGAGAAAGAACTTCTCCAATTTACAGATGCTATCCTGCTGGCAACACCTGTTACTTCTGACCAAAGGTGGATGTTCGTAAGCTTGCACTAATGCTAGCATTATACAAAATAAAATTCTCTCTCTCACTATATAAAAAATGCTTGTCTTTTCTTGGCATTCACTGGGCTAACATACAGTTGCCAAGATGTGTCTCATATTTAAATAGGAATGTGCGGGGTTCTCCAGGCATTATTATTGTCTCTGATATCTTATACTGTGGATCTTCACTGTAGGAAGTGGAAGCTCTACTCCACTAACACTCTTTCTCTGGATAGATTGCACAGAATAATACTGAATGAACTAAATGTGTGGTCTTTTGATTCCCTGGGGTTAATATTTAAGTTACACCTGCAAAAAACCATAACCCTGTTTTCTACAGACCTAAAGTCATTCTAGACACAAGGAGACATGACCATGTGAACACTCAAGGCAATTTTCTTAACTTAGGGAGAAGCACTACTGAAATAAAGTTTAAGTACTTCTATACAGAGGTCAATCTTTTACATATCACATAGAACTATAACTCACTTAAGTCAAAACTTCAAAATAATAAGGGCTAGGTATTCTGAAGAATAACTTACATGTTAGGACACATTACCTGGGAGATCTACCACATGTGAAAGTATAATGACACAACTTTGATGGAATTCTCAGGGCTACAAAACTGTTCCCTCTCTCCTGTTCCCCTTCTGCATAATTATGCTAGGCTTGAGAGATAACGGGAGGAAATCCACATCCCCTTTCATGACATAGTAGCTGCCCTTCTTAAGTAAGAACTCTTTCACTACCACCTTCTTTCCACTAGCATTTGTAAAGTTTACCAACACTTGTGAAATTGCATTGAAATCAGACATGTCTAGACATGTCCTTTCACTCCCTTTCCCCTTACTCTTTTCAGACATAACAAGTGTTTCACAGCACTTTACCTCCAGGTTGCTGCCTACCAAACCCCAAAGCCCCCCCCCGCCCCCGCCTTAGGATGTTCGAGAATCATTAGTCCCCAGTAGCGACCAAGTCAAAGCAAGAGAGCAGAATAAGTCACACGATCTACAAATAGTAAGAGGTGAACGAACCTCCTCCCCACAAAAAAGTCCGGAGTATACGGGAGAGCCGGGACGAGAAGCGCCCAAAGTCCTCTGCACCTCGTGGTCAGCTCACAGGCAGGCTCTCCAAGGAAGGCTGAGCGAGCGGGGATTCCGATCTCCCCCGTACAAAAGGCAAGCTCCCCAACACTCCGCATCTGCCAGCTCGGACTTCCCTCCATTACTACCTGGGCGACCAGTCCCCCCCCACCCCGCAAAATCGGATCCTCTCGGTATCCGTCTCCCCTTTCGCGGCCTCTGGATCACCCCGCCCTTCCTGCCCCGGCATCCTCACCTTTACACACAGGCGAGCTGGGGCTCTTCCTTTCCGGAGAGGCCCTGCTCTGCTCCGGAGACCGCCGCCGCTGGCGGTGTCGGATCCTTCCCCCGGCGGCGGCGGCGACAGAGCAGGCGCTGCTCTCGGGCACGGGCGGCGAAACCGGCGACGCACAAGGGGAGGGGGGCGACCGCGGCGGCGGGGGAGGCGGCGGCAGCGGGTGCGGGCGAGGGGGGCTGCCGCGCGCTCCTCCCCCGCCGCCTGCGCGCGTGGGGCTGCCGCGCGCGGAGTTCGTTGACGACGGCGACGGCGACGGCGAGAGCGGGAGGGTTGTCGCGGCGGCACAGCAGGCGCTGCCGCCCACTCCTGCTGGCGTCTGCGTGGCCACGGCCGGGCTGCCGCTGGTGTTACTACTGGTGCTGCCACCACGCGCGCCGGCGCTGCAGCCGTTACCAGGCGTTGGGCTGGCAGTCCGCGAGGAAGGTGGAGGCGGCGGCGGCGGCTGTGGCGGTGTCTGCGCTGCCGCCGCCGCCGCGCGAGGAGTGCCGCCGCCGCCCCTCGTGGGGCTGCCGTGCTGTTTGAGCTGGAAAGGCACCGTAGCCCGCATGGGCTGCAGGCGGCTGCTGTTGGTGCTGGCCGCCCCGCCTGCTGTTCCCGCCGCCGCCGTAGATGCTGCTGCTGCCGCCGCCGCCCCCCCTCCCCCCAGGGAGGTGGCTGGGGTCGGGGAGCCGCTGCGCCTCACGCGCGGGTGAGAAGACATGCTTGTCGGTCGGTCGGTCGGCCGGTCCGTGAGACGCAGGAACGGGTGCCGTGAAGGGGCAAATTTTCGCTTAGGCGAGGGGGAAACAAAACACCCCCCCCCCCGCCTCTCCTCAACGTATCCTCACACACGGGGAGACACTCGTGAGGCTTCTCCAGCCGATGCGATCGCTCCGGCCGCCTCATCAACAATAGTGGCCACACCAGCCTCTCCCATTGGAGGCGCGTCAACTCCTTTCCTGCCGCTACAGTGTCCTGATTGGCTGGGAGGCGTGGCCTGGGTCGCTGGGCTGAATGCGGATGGGCTAAGCTTAAAGGGACAATGCGGGGATTGCGCTCCTCGTGAAGAACGCGGGCGGCGGAGTGACAGGGCGAGGGTCGGGCTCCTTGCATACACTTTCTCGTTGAACCCGTGTGCCAGCCTGCTATCACGCTCTGTGTTTGTGGACACCCACACGTGGGCGCGAAAAACCAGGTAGCATCATTCATTCTGTGGTACTGAGGACACTGCCGGATCCGTTTAAGTAAGAGTCACGCACTGGACACCTCGTGCCATCCTTGTAGTTCAGCGATTGTACAATGGAAGAAAGGAACTTTTTGCATCTGTCCTAGACAGGCAAGTTAAGTCCAGCTTTAAATAGAGGCCCAACCACTCTTTCTCCACCGCAGGGGTATTTAAAAGGCAGTGGAGCGGCAACTACACACGTTTGTTTTCCCAAATTCCAACGTTTTACTCACGATCATAAAGATAAAGGTAAAAGTAAAGGTTTCCCCTTGACGTTAAGTCCCGTCTTGCCTGACTCTAGGGGGCGGTGCTCATCTCTGTCTCCTAGCCGAGGGAGCCAGCGTTTGTCCACAGACAGTCTCCGTGGTCATGTGGCCGGCATGACTAAACACCAAAGTGCAAGGGGAACGCGTGTACCTTTTTATCTACTTGCATTTGCATGCTTTTGAACTGCAAGGTTGACAGGAGCTGGGACAGAGCAACTGGAGCTCATCCCGTTGTGCAGATTCAAACCGGCGACCTTTCGATCAACCAACCCAGCAGCACAGCATTTTAAACCACTGCGCCACCTGCATCCCCAATTCCCAGTATCATAGACACTCCAAAAATGCAACTCTGGCAAATTGTGAGCCTTCTAAAGAGCTTCAGCTATTGGGAGGTGTAGAAATAAAATTAATACTACCAATAAGCATGGGTCCTGATTCTTCATCCTAGGACAGGACATTGGAAGGATCATGTACATTAGGCAAGTGTGTGTATAGATGTGCAACACCTGCAAGAGTTGATTGTGGGTAGGGGCCCAGCATTTTACATAAATGTATGCAGCATCTTGCATATTTGGATGCTCTAACAATAAAATATGTTGCCAATGGACAGAAGATGAGCTGAGCTGTGCAGATTGAGATGGGCATATTTATAGCTTGGAAGTAAAAATTACTAAATTGAAGCTGTTGTACTGTGGTCACATCATGAGAAGTCAAGACTCACTGGGTAAGACAATCATGCTACGGCAGAAGAAGAGAAGGAAGACCAACTATGAGACAGATCAATTCCATAAGGGAAGCCACAGCCTTGAGTTTACAAGGGCCAAGAAAGATGACATTTTGGGGGGCATTTGTTCATGGAGTCAGCATAAGTTGGAGATGGTTTGAGGGCAGGCAACAACAACAAAGTTATGGTTGCTACCTCATGCTGCATTCAGAAATACTTTGGCAAGAGATGGTTAAAACACATTTCTTAAAGTTACATCTCTGTGGAAACTTCCCAGAAGCAAATTTAATGTAGTAGGAAGTGAAAGAAGGTACACAGTATTTCTTCTTGAAAGCTTTTGACAATATTAACATTACTTGTAAGGCTGTAAATAGAACAAAGTTTGAAACAAATTACATGTCCAAGGACAACTCATGATTTTTGTCCAAGCAAGAGTATGAATCTGGATTGCCTGTGCTTGAGTCTCTACAAAGCTGTGCCTCGAAACAGAGCCATTTATTTCATGTTCTCAGTCCACCCTCAAGTAGCTCTAGATGAACACCAGCCTCCATATGTGACAAAGAGCACACAGATGCATGTCCTTGATAACTTTTTTATTTTTAACCTGCCTTGTCATAGAAGTTTGTCAAAGTCACACTGACCTACCAAAATATTTGCCCATTGGCCTATTAAACAAATGCCCTGGGACTATGCTCAGACTTGCTTCTCTGATCTTGGATCACTCCCCTATCAGTTTGCAGTGCACATGCATTTATCATCTAGCTACCAATCAGCCGCCACTGGCTCCTCAGCCAGTTCCTGCCCTTGGAGGGTCCAGCTCTGATCCACTAGTTCCCACCTCCAGAGGCAAAGGACAAGGGTGCAGCTGAGTCACATCTGTGGCAGCAGGCAGCTTTATTGAACAGGGCTTGGGGGCTGCAACTCCACTCCTTCCTCAAAGTTTTCCAACCAACTAATTGCTGAGTAGGGGTCTAATCCTTGCAGTTAGGATCTTTAATCTCTACTTACTTACACAAAGGTATGTTGTGCCTTTCAAAACACGACAGTCCTCCCCAACCTGGTGTCCTCCAGGTATGATAAACTACAGCTCCCATCACTCCCAGGCAACATGGCTGACACATCTGGAAGGCACCAGGTTGGGGAAGACTTCTACAAAGAATCCTAAACCAAGTGCAGAAATAGATCCACCCCCATACTGCCGATGTGTGAGTGCCTAAGGCTACAACCCTTTCCCACAGCAGATATTTGTCTGTGGACTAATTCTCAGGCTAAGGAAGGGGTGTGGGACTAGGAAGCATGAGAGGAATCAAGCCAACAGGTTCAAACCTGATTGAGAAGGAACACAATCCATTTCTCACGCCCCAATTTCAGCTCCTTGTATGCCTCCTGCCACAACAAGAAGGAAAGGAAAGGAAAGCTGCCTACTTGCTGCCACCGCAGCAGCTCATAGCAACTATGTGCACTTTCCCCCGTAACCTTCCAGAAACTCGAGGTAACATCTGAGCCTCATATAACTTGATGGTTTGAGGCAGTGGGCTGCCCAAGACAAGTTAGTGAGCTTCACAGCTGAAGAAGACTTGAATTTCCTTCCAAACCCATCAATACTTGAATCATTGTGTTACAAGTATAAATATCCTGTCCCAATCATTTTCTGCCTCTCTATCAATCAGAAAGATGCATTCTGCTTTAAAGCACCTCTTCAATTCCCGCTTTTCAGCAAAACCTTTCCCACATCACTTCCATGTCATCCATTCCCACATGATAAACCTGTCTAATGCTCCACTTGTCTCGAACTCAGTACCTTGGACTCCACACACACCATCATTCTCTGCCTATGCCCAGTTTGTCCAAAGCTGTCGACTTCATGCTACATGCCACAACAAGTGCAGTTTACACGTGCACACCCCCCTGTCTGGAATAGATACGTTTTTCCATCTTCCCACACAAGCCATGAATGGGCAGTGTGGGAAGATTTGCTTTTTGAATGCAAGCAAGTGTATGTCTGGCATATAAAACAAAGTTGGCGGGGGGGGGGGGACCCAAACTGTTTTTAGGAGGCTTTCTTTTCCTTCCTTCCTTCCTTCCTTCCTTCCTTCCTTCCTTCCTTCCTTCCTTCCTCAGTACATTAATCCATCAATTTCTAAGCTGAAGAAATAAGTGAGAACACTACCCTATGCTTGCTTAGCCAGAAATAAGTGCTTCAGTTCCCAGCCTTACCCAGCCAGCATGTTGGGACTTGTAGGCCTTCATTTCTCTCTACACATGCACAGATTTCCCTATCGTTTCAACAATTCACAACAAATCATATTCAACTATAGCATGTGACCATACATTTCTTTGTGTTTTGATTGGTGTCATGAAAAGCTGGGGCTCTTGTGTGCTGAAGTTTACCACATTGTGTGTGGTTAATCAGTGCTGGTTTGGCATGGAAGAAATGCCATTTTTGCTCCTTTTTTGTTTGCAATGTGCTGAGAAGATTGTGGGAAGCTGAGATCTCAGGAGGTGTCATAACTTTTAAGTGGTTTTGTTTTTAGGATTGTGGTTTAAATCCACAGAAGAGCTGTTTGTGCTGGTAGCAGAAACTGAAAGTGGGCTTGTAACGGACCAAAGAACTGTTTTGACAATTAAGATAGTTCATGACTGCTGTTATAAAGAAACGTGGGAAAGAAGGTAGGAGAAGCAACTCCTATAGATCGTTTTATCTACAGTGCAGTTCTGGCTGCCAAGACAGTGCAGTGACTGTCCTAGAGCAATAACAATTTTCTCATGACACAGAGATTGGAAGAACTTCAAACCCTTATCCATGGCACTGCGCCAATGTTTCTTC